CAGACTGAGATACCATCAATGCCAACCTGTTCTAGACAATTCCCCTGAATTCATGAGATTATCTATGGGGTTGCTGACAAAAGCCTGACAATTCAAAACCAGTCTCAAACACAAACAAGGTAAATACAAACCACCTGCAATTTATTGTTTGTAAATTTTTAATAATTTTAAAGCCAAAATGTTACTTTAATAAATGAAATTCTCATGTTAATGGGAGGTAAGTTTTCAAGAAAAAGGCAATAGCCACATGGCACAGCAATATAGAGCCCCACTGTACCCTCCTGGATCATATCACCTCCTGGGGTCTTTATTGCAGGGGCAGGCAAAATACAACCGATGAGCCAGGTTTGGCCTGCCAAGAGATTCTGTCGGGCTCTTGGTGGGTCCATTGGTCCCACCTGGCCCAGACTTGTGGGAACAGCCAGGGACATGGCACTTGCGGCTAGTTGTGCTGCCCCCAGGTGCACAGCATGGCAGGGCTGTGCACAGCACCTAGACTCAGCTTACTGGCAGCCGCTGCCACTGCCTTTGTCACCACCACTGCTGGAGCCAGCTCTGCTGCCTGGGCACCCCAGTCCATCTGTCTGGCACCACCACCAGCAGCACCAGAGAGAGCAGGGGGGTGGATGGGGTCTCCATGGAGACTGGCCTGGGACCCTTGTGAGCATGACATGCTTGGCCAGGTAGATGGGATGGGGCTGTGGGCAGGTGAGAAGTGGCATCTGGGAGCAGGATGGACTAGCTGGGGCTGGGGTTCTGGGGCAGAGCCACAATCCACTCCCCACATGTCTCTGCCCGTGGAACCAGTGCTCGTCGCCGGGGGTGTGCGGGGTGTGGATCATGGCTCTGTCCCAGGCCCTGTCCCCATACTGTCACCCCCTGCTCACCCATCCTACTCCCAGACACTGGTCCCCACCCTCCTATGGCCCCATCCCATCCACCTGTTCAAGTGCACCCTATCCATAGGAGTCCTAGCCACTCTCCATGGAGACCCTGCCCTCCCATTTTGTCCAGCTCCCTGGTGGTAAGAGTGGGGCAGATGGGCCGTGGACCAGATATGATTATTCACCCCTCACCCTGTGTACCCCCCCCCC